GTCGACTTAAATTTAGGGTTACTGCCATTTGATGTTAACTGGCTATTTTATGTGATAGGCTCTTTATTGCTGCCTCAACTTCAGACCTTGTTATTGGTCTATTTATAGTTTCGGCTTCCTCCTGGTTAAGGTTTGGGAGGACACAGGTGTCCAGGAATTTATCCATTTCTTCCAGGTTTACTAGTTTATGTGCATAGAGTTGTTTGTAATATTCTCTGATGATGGTTTGAATTTCTGTGGCATCTGTGGTGATTTCCCCTTTATCGTTTTTTATTGCATCTAGCTGGTTGTTCTCGCTTTTCTTTTTTATCAGTCTGGCTAGTGGTCTATTTTGTTGATATTTTCAAAAAACCAGCTCTTAGATTTATTGATTTTTTTGAAGGATTTTTCGTGTCTCTATCTCCTTCAGTTCTGCTCTGATCTTAGTTATTTCTTGTCTTCTGCTAGGTTTTGAGTTTTTTTGATCTTGCTCCTCTAGCTCTTTCAATTTTGACGATAAGGTGTCAATTTTGGATCTCTCCACTCTTCTCATGTGGGCACTTACTGCTATATATTTTCCTCTGGAAACTGCTTTAAATGTGTCCCAGAGATTCTGGTATGTTGTGTCTTCATTCTCATTGTTTTTGAAGAACTTCTTTATTTCTGCCTTCATTTCATTGTTTATCCAGTCAACATTCAAGAGCCAGTTGTTCAGTTTCCATGAAGTTGTGTGGTTCTGAGTTAGTTTCTAAATTCTGAGTTAGGTTCACAGCCGAATTCTACCAGACACACAAAGAGGAGCTGGTAGCATTCCTTCTGAAACTATTCCAAATAATCCAAAAAGAGGGAATCCTTCCCAAATCATTTTATAAGACCAACATCAACCTGATACCAAAACCCGGCAGAGACTCAACAAGAAAAGAAAACTTCAGGCCAATATCCATTATAAACATAAATGCAAAAATCTTCAATAAAATACTGGCAAGCCGATTGCAAAAGCACATCAAAAAGCTTATCCATCATGATCAAGTAGGATTCATCCCGGGGATGCAAGGCTGGTTCAACATACACAAGTCTATAAACGTAATTCACATATAAACAGAACCAAAAACAAAAACCACATGATTATCTCAATTGACGAAGAGAAGGCCTTTGACAAAATTCAACAGCCCTTTATGCTAAAAACCCTCAATAAGCTCGGTATTAATGGAACATATCTCAAAGTAATAAAAGCTATTTATGACAAACCAACAGTCAATATCATACTGAAGGGGCAAAAACTGGAAGCATTCCCTTTGAAATCTGGCACTAGACAAGGATGCCCTCTCTCACCACTCCTATTCAATATAGTACTGGAAGTTCTAGCCAGAGCAATCAGGCAAGAAGAAGAAATAAAGGGTATTCAAATAGGAAAGGAGGAAGCCAAACTGTCTCTATTTGCAGATGACATAATAGTATACCAAGAAGACCCCATCGCCTCAGCTCAAAAACTCCTGAAACTGATAAGCAACTTCAGCAAAGTCTCAGGATATAAAATCAATGTGCAAAAATCACAAGCATTCCTATACACCAATAACAGACTTAAAGAAAGCCAAATCAAGAACGAACTGCCATTCACAGTTGCTACAAAAACAATAAAATACCTAGAAATACAACTCACAAGGAACGTAAGGGACCTCTTCAAGGAAAACTACAAACCACTGCTCAACAAAATAAGAGAGGACACAAACAGATGGAGAAACATTCCATGTTCATGGTTAGGAAGAATCAATATCATAAAAATGGCTATAATGCCCAAAGTAATTTACAGAATCAATGCTATCCCCATCAAGCTACCATTGACTTTCTTCACAGAACTGGAAAAAACCACCTTGAACTTCATATGGGACCAAAAGAGAGCCCGCATAGCCAAGTCAATTCTAAGCAAAAAGAACACAGCGGGAGGCATCACACTACTGGACTTCAAACTACACTACAAGGCTACAGTAATCAAAACAGTATGGTACTGGTACCAAAACAGAGATATAGACCAATGAAACAGAACAGAGGCATCGGAGGCAACACAACATATCTACAACCATATAATCTTGGATAAACCTGACAAAAACAAGCAACGGGGAAAGGATTCCCTGTTTAATAAATGGTGTTGGGAAAACTGGCTAGCCATGTGCAGAAAGCAGAAACTTAACCCCTTCCTGACACCTTACACTAAAATTAACTCCAGATGGATTAAAGACTTAAACATAAGACCTGGCACCATAAAAACCCTAGAAGAAAATTTAGGCAAAACCATTCAGGACAAAGGAGTAGGCAAGGACTTCATGAACAAAACACCAAAAGCATTGGCAACAAAAGCCAAAATAGACAAATGGGACCTAATCAAACTCCACAGCTTCTGCACAGCAAAAGAAACAGTCACTAGAGTGAATCGGCAACCAACAGAATGGGAAAAAATTTTTGCAGTTTACCCATCTGACAAAAGGCTATCCAGAATTTACAAAGAACTCAAACAGATTTACAGGAAAAAATCAAACAAGCCCATCCAAAAATGGGCAAAGGATATGAACAGACACTTTACAAAAGAAGACATACATGAGGCCAACAAACATATGAAAAAATGCTCATCAACACTGGTCATTAGAGCAATGCAAATCAAAACCACATTGAGATACCATCTCACACCAGTTAGAATGGTGATCATTAAAAAATCTGGAGACAACAGATGCTGGAGAGGATGTGAAGAAATAGAACACTTTTACACTGCTGGTGGGAGTGTAAATTAGTTCAACCATGTGGAAGACAGTGTGGCAATTCCTCAAGGCCTTAGAAATAGAAATTCCATTTGACCCAGCAATCCCATTACTGGGTATATATCCAAAGGACTATAAATCGTTCTACTATAAGGACACATGCACACGAATGTTCATTGCAGCACTGTTTACAATAGCAAAGACCTGGAACCAACCCAAATGCCCATTGATGATAGACTGGACTGGGAAAATGTGGCACATATACACCATGCAATATTATGCAGCAATCAAAAATGATGAGTTCGTGTCCTTTGTAGGGACATGGATGAATCTGGAGAACATCATTCTCAGCAAACTGACACAAGAACAGAAAATGAAATACCACATATTCTCACTCATAGGCTGGTGATGAACAATGAGAACACATGGACACAGGGAAGGGAGTACTACACACTGGGGTCTATTGGGGGGAATAGGGGAGGGACAGTGGTGGGGGGGAGCTGGGGATGGATAGCATGGGGAGAAATGCCAGATGTGGGTGAAGGGGGGGAACGCAGCAAAACACACTACCATGTGTGTACCTATGCAACTATCTTGCATGTCTGCACATGTACCCCAAAACCTAAAATGCAATAAAAAGTAATAACTGGCTATTTTATCCATTCATTTATATAAATTCTTCTTTATGTTGATGCTCTTTACTTTTTGGTATATTTTTAGAAAGGCTAATACTGGTTGTTCCTTTCTATTTATAATGCTTCTTTCAGAAGCTCTTGCAAAGCAGGCCCAGTGGTAATAAAATCTCTGAGTACTTGCTTGTTCATAAAAGATTTTATTTTTCCTTCCATTGTGAAGCTTAGTTTGGCAGGATATGAAATTCTGGGCTGAAAGTTCTTTTCTTTAATGATGTTGAATATTGGCCCCCACTCTCTTCTGGCTTGTAGGGTTTCTGCTGAGAGATCTGCTGTAAGTCTAATAGGCTTCCCTTTGTGGGTAACCTGACCTTTCTCTCTGGCTGCCCTTAGTATTTTCTACTTCATTTCAACCCTGGTGAATCTGACGATTATGTGCCTTGGGGTTGCTCTTCTTGAGGAATATCTTTGTGGTGTTCTTAGCCAACAGCTCTTATAAGCAAGCCCTCTTGAACAAGTTCATCTATTTTAATCTGTATTCTGATTATTTCCAAATCCAAATTTCTAGGCCCAGTTTCTCTACTGAACTTCTGTACATGCATGGACTTGCCAGATATAGTCCCATGACTGTCTCACATGCACCTTAACTGTAGCATCTGGAGAGCTCACTGTTCTCCCCACCAAGCCCAATCCTCTTCCAGTCTGCTAGGTATCACTCACCAAAGTTCTATACAAGCAAGTCCTGCCACTCAATATCCTGACCACTCCATGCCTCACATTTCATATTGCAAGCCTTCGTCAGCACTGTTTTCTCTGCATAAGGTATTGATATGGTTTGGATGTGTGTCCCCTCCAAATCTCATGTTGAAATGTAGTACCCAATGTCAGAGGTCGGGCCTGGGGGTGGGGTGTTTGGGTCATGAATGGCTTGGTGCCTCTCCTCATGGTAATGAGTGCATTCTCACCGTGTTCAGGCAAGATCTGGTTATTTAAAAGAGCATAGCACTTCCCCCCTCACCATGTGGCAAGTCTGCTCCTGCTCTGCCTTCCACCATGAGTAAAAGCACCCTGAGGCTTCCCAAAAGCCAAGCAGACGGTGGCACCATGCTTCCTGTACAGCCTGCAGAACCATTAGCCAATTAAACCTCTTTTCTTTATAAATAACCCAGTCTCAGTTTATAAGTATCCAGTTGCTATAAAGGAATACCTTTATAAAGGACAAATGCAGGTATACTTCACATCTTTCTTCCCCTAACTACCCTTTTTGCAAAACACGCCTCAGTCTCATCTTCAGATGCTTGTCCTTAAAGCCCACCTTAGGATATATGTCCTTTCTCCATATTCCCTTTGTACCTTGTACATTCTATCTCATCACTTTTTGTATGCAATTGAAACCACTCATTTGTGTGCATATCTTCTCAGTACTAAATCACAAGCATCTTTAAGATCAAGAACTGTGACTTGCCCATCTGAGTACCTCCTGTCAGTTTCCAGAAGGCCATGACACATTGCAGGCACCTCAATAAATGTTTGCTAAACTCTTTATGAAAAGCCTTGAGGTTGATGAAACCCTCAAGTTTTCTATTACCCCATCCCACTGATTTTACTTTAGTGAACAAACTTTGAGGCACAAGACCAATCACAGCAATTCATCTTTGCTTTTATTAATAATTTCAACATTTGTTTTGAGCACTTTACAAGTTAGGAAATGCTTTCATAGACATTATTTCCTGTGATTCTCACAAAACCTTCACTTAAAAAAAAAAAAAAGACTTCAAGAACACTTGCCCTATGGTTATAAAATAATCACTTTACATAAGCAGATAAGAGTCCAAAAATTCTTATAAGAAAAATAAAGTCTAACCAGTACTTAATGACTTCCCATCAAGATTACTTTGTTTTAATGCCACCATTTCCTTGCTTTCCCCATTTGTTTCACGTAAGTTTACTCCTTTTGCCTGGTTCTGCTTCCTCTGACAGCTGCCCTATGTACACCTACCTTAACGTTTCTCCTTCTACTCTGAATAGACTAAGCCAAAAGCAATTCAGAAATATTTCATTCTAAAGAATACAGTATTTTAGTCCAAAACCAAATCCTGTTCATGCTGCTTAAATAAAAACATCAAAACTGTCACCCAGAGAGGCTTTCTCACAGGATGAATGCATTGAAATTCTCTGCTGTATGGTGTCATTATGATACAGAAAAGGTTTATAATTCCAACTGATTTCTAAAGAGAACAGAAAAAATTTTTGCTTTATGCAGATTCAGAAAGTTTTCTGGCTACCCTCATATTAAGCTATTAAGCATAAAATAAAACTAAACCTAAAAAATTCACCATCTCCCTCAAATATAAGCTATCTCTTTCCATAAGAGCTGATTTGCCATCCAAGACACCAGAAGGTAGATCTTCAGCTCCATGACCTACAACAGGCACGATGAAAGCAAAGCACTGCCCATGGAGTTGGAATATCATGGGGGAAAACTTTTTGAAAATGCTGCACAGAAAAATACGCCATTGTCTAAATTATCAGCAATTTGTGAATTGCTGATTGTATATTATATTCTTGTATTGAAATGTCAGATTTAGGTTGAAAGAAAATCTTTCTATTTGTACAAATACCAGAGGTATTTCATTTATATAATTTATAAAATTTTATTCCTATGTTGTGAGAGATAAATATAACATCTCCTAAATATCACAAAGTAAACAAGGTTATCCATAGAAAATGCAAGTAACAATTTTTGTCAGGCTTAAGGCTACAGCACATAGACATACACGCATACACACAAAGAACTAGCATACAGAATATCCAACAAGAGAATATTTTTCTATTTGAAAAAACAATGTGCTCATTTATTTGTACTTTTGTTTAAAAAAATATATGGACAGTCCCTGACTTGTAATAGTTCCACTTACAATTTTTTAACTTTACAGTGCTGCAAAACCACTTTTTACTTTCAGTATAACACTCAATAAGTTACTGGAGATATCCAACAGTTTATTTATAGAACAGGCTTTGCCTTAGATAATTTTGCCCAATTGCAGGCTACTGTTTAAGTGTTCTGAGTATGTTTAATGTAGGCTAGACTAAGCTATGATGTTTGGTAGTTAGATGTAGGAAATAGGTTTTTAACTTATAGTATTTTCAACCTATGGTGGGTTATTGGGACATAATCCCACTGTAAGTCAAGGAGCAGTTGTATGACTAAAGCTGGCTTTGGAAAGCAGCAATTAACTATGTCACTAAGCACCAACTTATTTTGTCATTGATCTAAAACATTACTTATACATAATAAAAGTGTTAAATGATTAAATTATCCAAATTATACAAGAGCATTTCAAAAATTGAAACCATTATCTTTTAGCAATTTTGGTTATATATACTTGGGGGATACAAGATACAATAAAGAAATGGGAATTTTAGAGTTAGACCTCAATCCAATTCCTGATTCTGACAGGAATTTCTAGATGGATGGCCTCAAGTAAATTTCTCTCTCTGAGCCTCAGCTGCACACATCCATAAAAGGATCAGAGTACCATCTGTCTCTGATCATTCTCAGTAGAACATTAGAATCTCTGTCTGGGATAACCAACCTTAACAGAAATTCAGAATGAACATGCTTATCAGTGGTCCCAAGACCACTGGAGGGAGTGATTTGCTAGGAAGACTCACAGGACTCAGCACACAGTCAAATTCAGTTACGACTTATTACAGTGAAAGGATACAAAGCAAAATCAGCAAAGAAAAAAAGGTACGTGGAGCAAAGTCCAGTGGAACCCAGGCCAAGCAAGGGCAGCTGTTAGAGGCAGAGAAGTCATCAGAGCTGTCAGCAATTTCAAAGGATTGGAGGCAAAAACTGAAGTTCAGAGCTGCCAAGGTTCCTGAAAGAAGGGAGTTGCAGAGATGTGACCTCAACACTTGACAGTTTTCCCTTAAAGACATTTGACAATTTTTAAAATTACATAGTACAAGAAGCTAAAAAGCAAAGCATAAAGCAGCAAAATAACCAAAACAAAAAATAAACAAGTGAGCAACAGGAATTTCTGGTAGTCCTGTGGTGCTGAGGAGAGGAGGAGCCTAGGCCTTCAGTTGTGACCTCTGGAGGGCTACAGCTTAGAAGGCGAGCAGGGGTGAACCAAGAGTTAAAAGAGATTTCACACACTTTGCTACCCTACCTTAAGGCAACTCAGTGGCTCTCTAAACTGGGGCAATTGCCCTACTCTAAAAGCCTACCAGAGGATAAAATGAATCTTCCATGAGGGAAGATACCTAGAGCCTCTGCAAGTTTTTATACACAATACCTGGCATTTGACAATATATTACCAGACGTATCAAGAAATAGAAACAGGAACAGACCCAAAGTAGTTCAGTATGGGAGTTATCAGGCATGAACTTTAAAATAACTGTAATTAATATACCCAAACAGATGATGAAATGAATTTCACTGTCTGTTATCTATTTAAAGATAATCAAATGGAAAAGCCTAGAAGTGACATACAAATAAATGAAATTAAGACCTCAAAAACAGGTTTAAAACTGTCTTTTGGACAGAGATGGAAAGAGAATTAGTGAAGCAGAGATAGTTACATAGAAAATGTCGAAACTGAAGGGACAAAAGCAAAAAAGGAGAGAAAACTGAAATCTCCACATAAATTAAACCTGTAGAGGAGAAACAAATGTGGCAGATGCAACATTTGAAGAGCTAAGGGCTGGAAATTTTCCAAAAACAATGAAAGACTCAAATCACAAATTTAAGAGGGGCTACAAATCCCAAGTAGGATAAATACAAAGAAAACCAGCTCTCAGCACTCATAGCAAAATTGTTAAAAACCAGAAACAGAAAAACCTAAAAGCATCCAGACAAGGCACATTACCTTCAAAGGAGTAAAAAATAAGACAGTAGGCTGGGCGAAGTGGCTCACACCTGTAATCCCAGCACTTTGGGAGGCTGAGGTGGGCGGATCACAAGGTCAGGAGTTTGAGACCAGCCTGACCAACATGGTGAAATTCCATTTCTACTAAAAATACAAAAAAAAAAATTAGCCAGGCATGGTGGTGTGTGACTGTAATCCCAGTTACTCAGGAGGCTGAGGCAGGAGAATGGCTTGAACCCAGAAGGCAGAGGTTGCAGTGAGCCAAGATCCCACCATTGCACTCCAGCCTGGGCAACAGAGCAAGACTCTGTCTCAAAAAATAAGGAGTTCATTTCAACAAATCCTAGGGTCTACTTTAGTGTTGAAGGTGGGAGGAGAGAAAGGATCGGAAAGAAATAACTACTGGAAACTAGGCTTAGAAGCCAGATGAGGAAATGATCTGTACAACAAACCCCCATGACATGAGTTTACCTATGTAACAAACCTGCATATGTACTGCTGAACCTAAAAGTTTAAGAAATACTACTAATAAAAAGAAATATATGGAGTTCAATTAAAACATATGACAATAACACAAAAGGTCAAAAGGTGAGTAGAATACATCCTAATATCCTAGCATTGTCTGTGAAAAGGCAAAAAGAGTAAATTTTATTATACTCTAATAAACCAAATATCCATGTTATCATCTCTAGAGTACCAGTAGAAGAGTAGTAAAAGAGAATGGAACAAGCTTTCAGAGAAACAAAAATAGAATAACAAAAACATTTTTTAATTAATCTCAAAGAAGGTGAGAAAAAAACATAAAACAAGTGAAATCAATAGAAAACAAATATAGTAACTTACAAACTCAATTGTATTAGTAATTCATTAAATGGAAATGGAGTAAATACTCCAATTAAAAGACAAAGATGCCTAACTAGATTATAAAATACAATTACATGGTACATACAAGATTCTTATCTTAAATATAAAGAGAAAAACTGGAACTAAAAGGATGGAAAAGGTGTATTATGCAAAAACGAACCAACAAAAGCTAGGGCAGCTACACTAATGTAAAACAAAGCAGACTTTAAAGCAAGAAGCATTACCAAAGAAAGAGGCATTTCATGATAAAGGGATCAATCCACCAGAATGATGTAATCACTCAAAAGTTCTACATACTTACTATAGTAATGCATAAAGCAAAAACTGACAGAACTAACAGGAGAAGTGGACACATTAACAATCATGGGGGAATCTTGAAAACACCTCTCTTAGTACCTAATAGAACAAACAGACCCAAAAACCATTACAATGTGAAAAATATGAACAATAAATTTAAAAACTTATCAGCACTATATGGAATGCTACAATCAGCAATTAAAGACTATACATTCTTTTATAATACGAATGTAACATTAAATATGTATTCTTCTTTATGCTGATAATATTATATTCTTATTTTGAATTCTCAGACACTTACTGTGAGAGAAATAACTTCTTCCAAGAGGCTACCAAAAATATAAATATCCATAAATATATACAATCATCAAAATCCCTGTATAGCTAAGTCTTACAAACTAATAATTACTAATTAGATACCTATCTGCATCTCAATTATAAGGATCATGTACTTAGGGTAAGCCTCAATGCTTCTGTTATAATCAACTCTGGTCTGGGATCCTGAGGTGTTCACATCAGTCTCAAACTTATTTTTCCGGATGATTTCAATCTCTGTATTTGTGGGCACAATAGCATTTCATCTACTAAGCACAAATATAAATGGTGGACTTTTAGTTATAAGTAACTATGATTTCCAAGGGATGAAAAGGTATGATATGATGTGACTTGATCTGCCTAGAAAATATCCCAATGGTAATTACAGCTCTGAGACTTTTCTATGCAGTAGCAATAAATGATTTCTAGAAATGCAAACCAGACTCAAGTTATATGTACCACAACTATTAGAAATGAAAATCTATTTTTTAAATTAGCTTAATAAAATGGTAAATGATACATTAAATAAGGCACGTTAATACCAGTAAACTTTACCACATAGCTAAGTATTAGACACTACTAACATTAAGCCAAGAATTACCTGTATTAATTGAATTTTCTCAAAAGATAAAGTTGCTATATATGTATAAACAAACAAATACTAGCTTCACATAAGGAAAATACAGATAACAGAGGTTAACACTTCATTCTAGTGTTAACAGTCTATGGCAACTAATATCTTTGTACTGTTTTACCAATAGCTTCCACTCGGTCTCTCTCATAACGTTGGGGACATGTCTAGAGACTTTAACTGAGAAATATTATGAAGGTAACTGGTCCACAGACTGACAGTAGTCCCTATACCTTATTAAGAAATATATCAAAACATACAAAATTAGGTTTTTTTTAAAGTATTAAAACAAAATATAACTAATGCTAAGTACTTTAAAGGCTTTCTCTGGCTTGTTATATTTATCAGTTGCATTAGAAATAATTTCTCATCAAATTTTCTAATGTCCATGCTATAGGCATAAAAAGGAATTAAGTAGTGACACATGCTACAATATGGCTGAACCTTAAAAACATGCTAAGGTGAATGAAGTCAGACACAAAAAGGTCACATATTGTATGATTCCATTTCTATGAAATATCCAGAAAGGGTAAAGCTATAAGATAGAAAGCAGATCAGTGGTTACCACGGTCTAGGAGTGACTGCTTAATTGGTTTGAGAGTCTCCTTTAAAGGTAATAAAAAGGTTTTGGAACAAGATAGGGGTGACTGATGGGTGCACACCACTGTCAACATACTAAATGCCACTGAATTGTTCACTTTAAAATGGTTAATTTTATGCTCTGTGAATTTCACCTCCATTAAAAACTAGATCCAAATAGTATATTTATTATATGGCAGTGATTAGACTTCTATTAACATGGGTATATTGTTTATTATGATAAAACACTGTGTAAATATTGCTATCTTTCAATTTCACTTTCATATATATACATAAGAAAGTGAAATATATATATATATATAGTTGTTGTTGTTGTTGTTGAGACAGGGTCTCATTCTGTCATTCTGCTACACAGGCTGGAATGCAGTGAAATGATTTCGGCTAACTGCAACCTGTACTTCTCAGGCTAAAGCAGTTCTCCCACCTCAGCCTCCCAAGTACTGCGAATACAAGCACCTGTCATGAGGCCAGGATCATTTTTGTATTTTTTGTAGAGACGAGATTTTGCCATGTTGCTGAAGCTAATCTCAAACTCCTAGACTCAAGACATCTGCCTGCCTTGGCTTCCCAAAGTGCTGGGATTACAGGCATGAGCCACTGCACCTGGCCATCCTATAATGTTTCAAACATGCTCAATCTTCAATACTTCCTCTATAGACCTGAAATTTATGCACCACCACAATATCCCAATAAAGAATTGTGAAATGTTTCATTGTCTCATTCTCTAATCATTTAAATGAAGGTCACTGAAACTGCTTAATAGTTCAGATAATAGATAAAATAAAAACGTCTTTGCTAAGCACAAAAATACTATATAGCTGTTTACTTTTATGAGTCCTACCAATATTTCCAGCTTTGACCTAAAATAAACACCCAGCCCATTAAAAACATAATGCAGATTTAGAGTTGCATCAGATGGAATTTTTATTATACTACACAAATGGGTAAAATGACTTTTGTTTGGTAATTACCAATAAATGCCCTAGGAATATATAACATAATGAATATTCAACAATGAACATTATTGAAAAGAAAGTTCTATAACTTCTGGTAAACACAGAGAATCTAACAGAAGCATTTATTTCTGATCCCTTCTCAAATACCACGAAGTTAATAGTAAAAAATAAATAAATAAATAACTTTTTTTAAGGATAAATTCATAGGGAGAAAATAAATTCAAGAGGAGGTGACGATAAAACAGAAATAATACAGGGTGGTCACAGGAGAATAGAAAATTCCAGACAGCAGTTTCACATGACTAGCAAAAAAGCAAACTGTTGAAATGGCTATAGAAACTAGGGATTGATAAGACCCTGAAAAACCAGGGTGTGGACCTGGTTAAGACCAACTGGACCCAACATGGCACTGGATTTGACCTAGGTTTCACTTAGGACCTTATTATATGCTCATTAACATACTAAGTCACACACCCACCAGTATCATGACAGTTCCAGGAACACCCATATTTGGTGTAAAAGTGGATGACACTGCAGTTCTGAGCAATCGCCACCATTTTTCAGTTATCTTCATGAATATTCCACCTTTTGATTAAAGAAACCCAGAAAGATAAAAACCCCAGACCCCACTGTGGGACTCTCTTGAGTATGCCTGCAGTCCCCTTTCTTGAGTGTGTACTTTTGTTTTGTAATAAATCGTATTTTCGCTATTCTGACTCATCCTTGAATTCTTGATAGTGTCAAGAGCCTGGACACAGACACTGGCTGGGGTCCCACCAGCATTTGGAGACCCCCTCCAGCCCACCAATACCAAAAGTAAACAAGAGATATCAACAAATTGTTGGAAGATGGAGGTAGGTGGGGGCAGATGGATGAAACTAATGGTCTTGAGTTCCAACTTCCTTCACTTTGCTTTGAGAAAGCAGGCCCTCACCAGACACCAAATCTGCTGTTCCCTTGATCTCGAACTTCACAACCTCCAAAACTGTGAGACATAAATTTCTGCCATTTATAAGCCATCTAGCCTATGGTATTTCACTATAACAGCCTGAATGGACTAGGACAACATCTGTCAATGAGTTACTATTTATGTTGAAAAAGACATTTAATGTAAACATTCTAATTGCTGCAATTATTCAAGCTTATTTTATATACATTGCCTATAAATGAAAATAAATTGATTTATAACTGATACTGTATCTTGGGAAATAGTTAAAACCAAGTAGGATAAAACTGAATTGAGGGCTAATTTGTGGAATAACACCATCTACATTGCATACATGCTGAATAAAGCAACATTCTGGCAGGGAAAGATGAATTTGAAAGATTATAAAAGGGGCCGGGTGTGGTGGCTCAAGCCTGTAATCCCAGCACTTTGGGAGGCCGAGGCAGGTGGATCACAAGGTCAAGACACCGAGACGATCCTGGTCAACATAGTGAAACGCCGTCTCTACTAAAAATACAAAAAATTAGCTGGGCATGGTGGCATGTGCCTATAATCCCAGCTACTCAGGAGGCTGAAGCAGGAGAATTGCCTGAACCCAGGAGGCAGAGGTTGAGGTGAGCCGAGATCGCGCCACTGCACTCCAGCCTGGGTAACAAGAGCGAAACTCAGTCTCAAAAAAAAGAAAGAAAGAAAGAAAGATTATAAAACGTTGAACTCAACTGAAAAAAGTTGGGGGAACTTACATTCATTAACTTGATACCTCAGTTTCACATCAGGATAAGGAAATAGATTAAAAATTACAAGGAAAAAGAAGAGATCCGGAGAAAAGGACAAGGGAGTGATCTTAGGAAAAGTTAAGTGGTCTCCTAGTTCCATCTCTAATACTGTCATTTACTCTTTTCACTTATACTTAGAAATGTGGCTTCCCCTACCCCTACTCTAATTCCATAGTCATCATTACAACCCTCCAATGCTACCTAACACTATGTCCTCAAGCAATCATTGCTCTTGTTCTCACTATTCTTACCGGAGTTCTCATCCTCCTCTCAAATCTTTTCTTGCCTCCACCTTCCCAGTTTCAAAAATATATATATAATACTTTCAGGTAAAATAGTGGCATACTTTGCCAGTGGCTTTAAAACTCCCAAATGACTAAAGGATAAAGTCCAATGTGCTTACACTGTTAATTAGGGCACGGTAAGACAGGGCTATTCCCAGAAATCTAATACAATTGAATTTTAAAATCTTACATAGCTACCTACCTCTTATTCAGTTCAATATGTGACTGGCACACATTGCAAGGTACCATGAATGGAGCATTATGCAGTACTAAAGGGCATAGATACAGTCTCTGGGGTTAATTAGAAGTTAGCCAGGCAAAGTATGAGTGAAAGACTTCCCTTAAAAGTTGGTATAGAAGCCAGGCACAGTGACTCATGCCTGTAATCCCAGCACTTGGGGAGGCTGGGGTGGGAAGACTGCTTGAGCCTAGGAGTTCAAAACCAGTCTGGGCAACATAGGGAGGCTCCCTCTCTACTTAACAACAAAAAAATTAGCTGGGTGTGGGGGCATGTGCCTGTAGTCCCAGCTACTCAGGAGGCTGAGATGGGAGGATTGCTTCAGCCCAGCAGGTTAAGGCTGCAGTGAACTG